TATCTACAACAACTTTCTCAACACAAACTTGGTTGCACAAAGATGAGTCTAAACATAAATCATTACAAGAAGTAGAGGCATCCTTTTTAGACATGTTAAAGATAGAACTTTTCTTTTTAGATGCCTTGGTGGGGGTTGTACTAACGGCTTCAAGATTAGCAACTTTATTAGTTAGTTCATCACAATGTTTGCACATGGTTTCCATTTTAGCAAGCAAACATTTATAAGCATCTTGTGAGCTAGCTAACTTTTTTTTAATTTTTATTTTTTCTTTACAAGTTGCTCATTATTGATTGTGCATGCATTTGTTGTTGCACTAGCCTCAAGTTGCTCAATTTTAGTAGATAGTTCAACATTGAAATTAGTAAAGTTCTTATATTGTTCAAGCAAAGTTTTGTATGCTTCTTGTGAACTATCTAGCTTTTCTTTTAATTTTTCGAGCTTCTTTTGTTGACTAGTGCAAACTTTAGCATAATTAAGATTTTGTTGCACAATTTCGTCATAAGAAGGCATTTCATCATCACTATCACTCTCACTAGAGGATGAGCTTTCGTTACCTCGTGCCATAAGGCACATACGAGAAGAGCTTGATGATGAGTGCTTGCGCCCTCGGCTCTTGTGATGGTGTTCTTCTTCACTTGAAGAATTATCCCATAACCTTATTGATGTGAGGGCTTGGTTCTTGCATGCCTTCTTCTTTGTCTTGGGTGTGGGCTTGTTTGGACAAACTTCCACAAAGTGCCCCAACTCGCCGCATCCATAGCATCATCTCTTTCTTTGCTTATTTCTTTGATTGGTAAAAATGAGATCTTAGATTTGGATGGGCACACCCTTGACATTGAGCCTTTGGATCATCTTCTCCACCTTGTTGATTAGTTTGATTGATTCTTCATCAAGGTTGGAGGTGGAGGAGGAAGATTGATCATCTTCACTTGAATCTTCTTCATCATCATCATCGTCCTCATCTTCTTCTTCATCTTCACTTGAGGAGCTTGAGCTTGAGCTTGTCTCAACTTGTTTGCCCTTCATCTTCTTTTTCTCGCTACATGCGAGAGCTTTGCCTTTACTTGATGAAGAGGCTTCATCTTGACCCATCTTATGTGACATTTCAAATGCCACTAACTTGCCAATAACTATGCCCGGAGTCATGGTGCTCAAGTTCTCCATGTTGTGAATGATGGTGATGATGCTTGCATATTTCTTTTATGGTAGCATGGAGATGATCTTTCTCACGATGTCCGCATCATCTAGCTTTGTTAATCCTATTGAATGGAGCTCATTAATAATTAGATTCAAACGAGAATACATATCACGAACAAGCTCATCATCCTTCATTGTAAAAGAATCATAATTTTGTTTAGCTAGACAATGTTTTTGCTCATGGACATTAGATGTGTCGTCATGGAGCTCTTGGACTTTTAACCAAATTTCATGTGCCGTATTTAAAGTGAACACTTGGTTAAAGACATCCATGCTAAAAGATTCAAACAAGCAATTCTTAGCTCTAGCATTGAAATGTATTTCCTTTTCTTCACTCTTTGTGGATTTATCGGGATTCTTAATGGGTTTCATCCCATCACGAGTCACTCTCCAAACTCCTAAATCAACTAGCTCAAGGTGGCAAGCTATTCTAGCTTTATAATAGGGGAAGTTAGTGCCATCAAAGTGTGGAGTTCTAGAGGTATCCATCCCAACCACTCTAACTAGCATCGGCTCAACGAGGTTAAGCCAAAGGTCCAAATTGAGCCAACCAGCTCTGATACCACTTGTAGGGGACCATGACGCCTAAGAGGGGGGGGGGTGAATTAGGCAACTTAAAATTCTACTTCTAAACTATGGCCTCTTTTACTAACCTTAGCAAAACCAATGCAAAAGATAAACTATATAAATATGTGCCTATGGTTTTGCTAATGTGTTGCTATCTCTACCGCAAAAGGAGTAATACAATAAATGTAAATGCGGAAGCTAAAGAGCAAGGTAGAGATATGCAAACTCCCGTCGATAACTCTGGTATTTTTACCGAGGTATCGAGAAGCGCGCAAGCTTCTCTCTAGTCCTCATTGGAGCCCCTCGCAAGGAATCCCTCGCAAGGGCCAAGCTCCCGGTCGGGTAACTCCGTGCATAGCCTCAAGAATTCCCCACACGGAAGTGGGTCTCCGACGTGCCTTCCGACAAGCCTCTCTGGGATGCTCCCCGCCATCTTCACTACCAAGCTTCCGCCCGAAACGCCGTGGGTCTTGTTCCCTCCGGTACACGGTGGCGGCCACACCACAAACATGGTTGGTGTGATCTCTCAAGACTACAAGCCTCTCCGATATACAACAATGGTGCGTGCAAGCACCGAGTGGTAAGAGGTATGCAAACCTCACTAAACACTAGGCCTAAACCAAGAGCAAGCGCATAAGCGGTGGTCTAATCAACCTAAACACTTTGCAAAGCACCTACGCTAATCACCTAATGAATCACTAAGCACTATGCAAGTGGAGAGCACTAAAATGGTGTACAAGCACCCTTGGCATGTTTCCTCAGCTCCACACACTTCAAATGGTCAGTTGGGGGGTCTATTTATAAGCCCCATTGAGAAAGTAGCTGCTGGGAATGAAATCATGCTTTTCTGTTACTAACCGGATGCTGATCACATCCTGACCGAACGCGTCCGGTCGTCCCGACCGTTAGAGCTACGATCTATTGATCGGACGCTACCAACGTCCGATCACATGCCACCGGACGCGTCCGATCGTAATTTTGCTGCTCTGGAATCTTTCTGTACTCAATCGAACGCTGTTGTCCTGCGTCCGGTCGATTTGCCGCCATCGTCTGGTCGCTGTTGCGGACTCCTGTTGCTGAGCCTCTTGATCGGAGCGTCCGGTTGCTTTCCGTCAGCGTCCGCTCACCTCTGTGAGCTCGTTTCTTCGCGATCTTGTGTACGGCTTAGTTTCTATCTTCGTGCTTGGACTTTGCTTGATATCTTGGGTCTTCTCTTGTGCTCCTAGGGTCTTGCTTATGGTGTTGATCATCGGATCATCACGTCGCCTTTGTTCAAGTCACGTCTTGCATCCTATTGAACTACAAAACAATCACTTGCAAATTCATTAGTCCAATTTGGTTGTGTTGGTCATCAAACACCAAAATCCAAAGTAAATGGGCCTAGGGTCCATTTTTCTTACAGCACCTTATATGGACTGTTCGATATCCTAATGGTAGTCCTCTAGCTTTAACTCGAAAAGGCTCTTTCTGGTGGCGAGATATTCAAAAACTCTTGGCCACTTCCAAAGGCATGGTAGCTGCTTTAGTTAATAATGGCTCTTCATGTTCTTCTGGTTAGATACTTGGAATGGCTTTTCTTTATGTACGTCTATGCCAGAAGTTCAGCAAGTCTGCCAGTCACCAGCTTTTCATGACCTCTTTCATCTGCCACTTTCGGTGGAGGCCTATCAGCAGTTTATTGACCTCTCAAATGTTGTTGCCAATTTACATTTACAAGAGGGTTTTGATCGCCGGACATACATTTGTAACTCCCCTAAATTTACCTCAAAGCAGGCCCATGTGCACCTCATTGGTAGGAGACAGGTACATCAAGCATTTTCCTAGCTTTGGAAATCTTGCTGTCAAAACAAGAGGAAAATTTTCTTTTGGCTTCTTCTTAAAGACCATCTCATTACCAGAGAACTTCTAAGAAGGAAATATGGAGCTTGATGACTACAATTGTGTTCTTTTGTGACCTTGGCTTGGAAGAATCCCTTGTCCACCTCTTCGTGTCTTGTCCTTTTGCAAGATCATGTTGGGCAACTCTTGGCTTCGTTATCCACTAACCTTCTGATCCGTTTGGGACCCTTGTTCATGGAGATCATTGTCACGATGTCCTAGTCCATTTCGACTGTCCATAATGATGCCATTTTTCCGCAAGTTCAACCATCAATTGATCACTGCAAGGCAGTCTTACGAAGAAAATTTGATCAAGTCATACTTAGAGCAAAAGGAAACCTCGTGCCTTTGTTTACTCAATTGCTAGAAGCGTATGTGTAATTTTGCTGATTTTTTTCATTTCCTTCTTTGTCTCTTTGATAAACATTGTAAGACATGTTCCTCTGTTTAATAAAAGCACAGTAGGGGGCGCGTGCCGTCCTGTTTCCTAAAAAAAATAGGACTGCTGGCTTGCAGTTTTCAGAAGTAGAGGCAACATGTGTGGTTGTCGAGGAGTGGGACTGCTCAAGATGCCAAACTTCAGAAAAACACCGTAATTGCCCATAAAAAACGATCACGCAAAAGATTTGCGCGTCTTTGTATTAAGATAGAGAAAATATTCGTTATAGCACACCTTACCGGCGCCCTAGGGGGTTAATAAAGTTTTACATGGACACTCAGACCCTCTCTAATGTACTGCAAATTTGGCTATTACATTGGACATTGAACAGTCCAAACTTGCAGCACTGACAAAGAGACCTATGCCTGGGTTGCCGAGCGGCGGCGTTGCTTGTGCACGGCTACCTCGCCAACCGGTGGGAGCAACTCACGTAGCGCCTGCATATGAGTGGGGTCACTGTTGAAAATTTCATCATATGTCTTCTTAGCCGACGTTGATGGAGATGGCCTCCCGATGGATAGTCTCAGGCGCTTCATGACAAGGTACTCACCTCGCTTAGCTACCAGGATATGAGCGATGCTATGTACCACTATCCGCCTACTTCACCTCACTTGGCTACCAGGATATGAGCTATGCTATATGTACCGCTATTCACCTGCTTCGCCTTGGGAGCGAGGGCGGTGCCCTAATTGCCAGTAAAAGATTGTATATGGTGTTGATTCCCAGCTTTTTGAACCAATCAACACCGTAGAAGAAGCACAAAATCCAGTAAATGCCGCCGCCATACATATTTGAAGCAAAATGCGTACGTCCACATAATTAATGCCATAGCAGTGATGCAACGATCTGACCCACATGGTAAACACAATACACACCTAGTATTTCAAGAGAAACTGGTTTCCTGAAGAGTTGGTTCCTATTTTCCGTCGATAGCAACCTCCTTGGTGAACAAAGGATTAACCTTGGGGACGGTGACAACCAGCGCCCGGAGCTGCAGTTGGGCGCGGACACTCTCTTTATCGTACCCCTTGGGCACGAGCAGCCGGACATGGAACGAGACGCTGTGGGCCTGGGGCTGCTCCCTTTGCCTTTGCTCCTCTGCTGCTGCAGGCTTGGGCTTGTTCGTCCTGATGATGAGCACATCGTCCTCCACGGCAACCTGGAAGTCGCCCGTTGTAGCACCCTCCGGCAAGTTGAAGAATGTCAGCTTGACGTTCTTGCCATCTTCCTTGATCTCCCACCGCGGCGTCGACGTGGGCGGCATGTCGGGATGCACAAGGGCTTCCATCGCCAAGACAGGTGGTAAAGACATCAGAGAAAATATTACTCCTGCAATTTATATGCATGCTACTGTACATTGCAACTCGAGCACGTAGAATACTCATCAGGGACAAAGAAACTATTAGTAAAATTTGCTTGCTAGTACGTCTCATCATCACCAATCACCAATACAATTAAGGAGGTAGCATACCAACGGGAGAGATGTTAAAGGGATGGTCGGTGGCCTTGGCATCCACAGAGTAGCAGATGGAACGAGGCCGCTTCTTCTCTGCAGGAGCGCAAGGGAGAGCCACCACTGCTGGTTTCACAAACCCGAAGGACGACGCGCCAGCTGAAGATCTTGCCGGCCGGCTGAGCAGGCCGAGAGAAGTGGAAATTGTCGACATTGTTTGCAGTTCAGTAGTAATATCACTATAGTGATCGAGTAGCTAGTTCGTCAGGTGCAATGCAAGTGTCTCTTATCTGTGTGCCTCAACTGTATATATAGAGACTTAAAGAGAGAGAGACCTAAAGCCTAAAGAGAACCAGTTAACTGCTGCTGCGTACTTTGCGTGCTCGGGAGTGGGAGTATATATAGATCTGCAAGAGCTTTGGTAAAGTAGCCGTGCTGCAGCAATGATTCTAAACTTGTGGTATGCGCATTCCCCGTCACACTAGCTTATGTGGAAATGAGACCTTTAAGTGTGCAAGAGATAAGCACAGAACAAGAGTCAGATTGTAGGACTAATATAATAAAAAGTGACAAAATGCAAATTTACAACGCAAAAGCTAGGAGAACTGATAGTTTTGGAGGTACACTCGTACTTCAGTATCCAACACACGTAGTAGCACCCTAACATACGATCTTTCACCGCTGCAAAATAGACAACAATCTCTACCGACACATTTGTGTCGCGTGTGCTGTAGCTGACAGTGACTCTGCTTCACACTATTGGATCATAAGACTAGGATCTGATTAATGATTAGAATTCTATTGACCCAGCAACGAAGCCGCGCGCCGGGTTGAGTTTCCCAAAAATATCAAAGACAATATTTGGGATAAGGTTATAGAAAAAGTTCACTTCCGGATCGTGACGTGAAAATAGTCAAGAAACACGCACTATATGGCCACTTCTTACAAAATTTTATTTAAACGGTGCATTGAATAAGTATTACGCCTAGAATGAGACACAGACAGATTGACTTGAGTACACGAACCAGCAGCGGTAGTGAGAGGAATTCAAGGAATACGTGCTCTGGAGGGAGGCACAGGAAACGAGCCTAAGGGCGTCCCCAACAAGACACTAGGAGCTAGCTCGGAAGTCTACGTGGAGGAGAGAGAGCAAAAAAAAACTTGTCGCTAGCTAGTACTTCGTCGCTATGCTCGCACGGTTCCCAGTGAACCGCACCTCTTTGGCTTCCTGACCCACCTTCACAGTTCTGAAATTTTCTTCTTTGTTTATTTTCCCACCGTGCCATGTAAGCTAGCGATTTGCGCAGGACGCCCTAAGGAATAAGGCCAACTTTGAGAAGAGCCGACCTCCTCGTAGCCTCATAGGATCATCCCATATGGGTACACGGTCATAAATGGTATAAGCGGTTGAGGGGCAAGACCCCTTGCGCACCCGCCGCCCCGCATCGCCCTCACAGGGCGATTCAGATGGCTAGGCAAAACCTAGCTGCTGCCCCCCTCTTCTTCCCTTCTCCAGCTGCGCTGCCGCTGGAGCATGCCACCAGCAAGGCCGTGCAGTTTGCAGGGATGGCGGCAACGGAGCTCTTCCTCGCGTTGGTGGCGTCGGGGCGCCCCTGCGTAATCTGCATGGGGCTCCGCGGGGCAGCCGGCAACAGCCAGGACCTGCGTAAGCGCATGGCAGCGGTGGTGCAGCTTCTCCTCTCTCCTTTTGCCTCCTTCCTCCACGCCCTTGACAGCGGCAGCGGCGCTGCCGAGGCCGCTCCAGGGCCCGAGTGGCCAAATACTGGGCTCTAGTGGCCAGACCAGCGCCCCCCGACGGGGACGGTGCCCTCGGCGGCGGCAATGGCGGAGGCGCAGCGCAGGCTCGGGGCACCATGTCCAGCGCCTTGCGGCTAGATCCAACACCCCTGTTGACACTTCTTAGCGTCGCTACCAGGTTTATGTCCCCGGCAACGGTGCTAGAAATGCTTTTTGGTATTTCTTAATGACACCGGCTATGGCGCCAAAAATACTGGTTGGCAATACTTATCAACATCACTAATAAATAGCAATGCCACTAAGTAAGGCCTTGATAGTTGCTTAACAATTTTAGATATTTATCCGCAAGCGCATGGAGCTATCATTGTAGCATTTCACCCGGAAGTATTCAGGGTATCGTTATTTATATTTTCCCAAAGAAAGACATTAATTGATTAAGAGTCTAGTATGGATATGAACTTGAATAATAATGCTTGCAGGTACACCAATATTTATAACAGGGGTAAGAATGGTATTCTCAAGATAGTGGACACACACTTTGTATTCCTCAGAGGATAAAATAAAGAAAAAGAATAAAAAAATAATCCTAAGTTGAGCATGTATTGGTCTATCATAGTCATACAAAGATTAGTTAATGATCATACAAGTTACATAATTAGTTTTAGGGCTAAGTGTGAAACAGGTCGGGAGAATACCGACTACTGGTCTGCCAGCAACCTCATGTAGCATTTTAGACTCCTACACCCCAAATGAACATGGGACGGATAGCGCTGTCGCCACTTGCCCGCCTACCACCTCAACCGTGGAGAGGGAAATGTATTCACCCGTCTCTCCATACCCAAGAACTTCGCTTGTGTAGACAGAAACTACCCAAATACCCTCGAGACTCTAACCCTACGGACCAACAAGTAAAGGACTTGGGCACACCTGACGGCACGATGAACTACCACCTCAACTTAGCCCTAATTCCAATTATATAACCTATACGAGTGGTTAAGCATAAAGTCATGTATGCTACTCTCATGACATACAAACTATAGACTAGTCCATATATCAAGATTATAACACCATAACTATACTCTAGCTCATAGGTATGACTATAATTATAAAGTGAAGGCATGACTTTGGAAGAACCCATATCTCTATTCGTACCCAAGAATCTCTTCTTCCAAGGAGCCAAGCCCTCCAAGGTAGCTTTGCCTTGCTCTAGTACAACTAAAGGTAAAACTAAGAGAGGGGACTGAGGTATTGCTCAATGTGTTGTGTGTTTTGAGAGGGGGGGTTGCCCCTCTATTTATACAAGGCTTGAGGCAGTGCTGGAGACTAAATTTGGCGCGAGGACCGGTCTCCACCGCCTCTGCATGCCCTCATGCCACCGCTAGACAAAGGGGCGGCATAGAGGCGCCGGCAGGGGGTCGCCCTCCCCTAGGGCTAGCCACCCCCTCACCACCGCCTTTGCATGGTGGGTCGGTGCTCGGTCCTGGGCTGCTCCTTGGCCGGTATTCTGCCCAAATTATTGTCGTGGATGGGTCTCTTTATTTATCATTTGTGCAAATTAGCGTCGAAAAGTGCCTTTTGGTGAATTCTCTCCATATATTTGTCCTTGTGTCCTGCAAAATAATAATCTCCAAATACATGTGGAACTAGGTCAATAGTAAATGCATATGTGTCTAAGATTGCTAATTTATCCTCTTTTGTGTCTTAATTGGCGGTCGGATTGGATCGTTAAGGACCGCCAACACGATCCCCAAGCTTAACCTTTGCTCATCCTGAGCAAATAGCTAAGTTATTGGTTGTTGATTAGGAGTTGCTACTATATCGAATATAATTCATAAGTGCCATGCCTATAATAAAGTATTCTTTCTCAATTTAAATAAGTTTGGCATTCTATCCACCCTTTTAACTTAATCCCTGTGAGGCTTATTGCTTTTCTAAATTCTTGGGTGGTTGCAAGATAGAACGGTTTAACAGAATTATGAATCATTCATTCTTTGATCGACCTTCTATCTGCAGGTTTTATAAGTTTTGCAAAATAAAATGTAAGTTCCTCAAATGATTCACTCAATCGCTCAATGTGTATAATCCTCACCAAGGCATTTGATTGTTTTCCTTCTTTTCATCCTACTTCTAAAGGTTTTGAGTGGAGTTCTAGGTAGGTATGAATGAAAGGCATACTTGCATCTCATATATTGTTAAGTCAAAACCCGGATCCAAGGAGATACAAGTCATACACTTTGATCAAGAAGTGCAAGTGTGTGGAATATTTTTCTTAATCTGAATATTTTTTGTACTCCTTTTGATCATGACTTTCTCTCTTTTTTTATAACTGCCTTGGAAGTATAGGCTATCTTTATTTTTTAACACTTTAGAACCTTCATGTGTTCCATTTTTTTATTTTCCTATTTTGAGAGCTTCATGTGTCTCTCTCTTTTTAGCATAGCCCCATACTTCTTTTTGGCATATGATAACTTTGGAGAGAAAGACTCATGAACAAATGAATGGAGTATTTATTTTGGTGGATAGAAAAAAATATGTTTTTGTGTAACTCTTAGTGTAAGAGTTAGCATTTTTATATGTGGGTGTACGTGAATCTTGATCATGGGTGCATGATGAGAATCTCAACAAGGGTCGCAACAATTTGACAAAACTCAATATAAATACAAGTAGCATATGACTAAGGTTTAAATTTGAATGTGTCATATGGCCGTGGTAGGAATCCATCATCATTGAGGAACTTTTGATTTTAGCATTTTTTAAAATGAAAAACTCCGGATGTCAAGTTTTTCTTAGAACAAAGTCATAGCTAAATAAATGTAGAAAATAAATAATGAAAAATTAAAATGTGGAAAATAAAAGATACTACTTACCTCTGCGGGGGTCCTCCTCCAAGCTAGCTCGAAGCCAGGAGATGATTTTGAGGTAGGTTATTTGTTTAGTATATCAACTAATGTTCGCACTTAGTAATTTTGGTACAATGATCAAACTAGATAGTATGTTCCATTTGATCAAGGTAGACTAATTAACCTAAGCCCCATCCTTAATTTAAAGAGTCTATGGAAGCATCATCGCCAATAACCTTTTAGGTGGATTCTTTGTTTTATTAAGATAACCAGATCGGAATATAACTTCTTGCAGAACATCGGAAGATAACTAAGATAACAGAGATGAAAGGTAAACTTTTAGGTGGATTCTTTGTTTTATTATGTATACATGGTATGCCAGAATTTATGTTGTTTATTCAACCAGTGTCTATACTTAGTAGTCTTGGTTCAATGATTAAATTAGATATCTAATCAAGGTAGGCTAAATAACCTAAGCACCATGCTTAATTTAAAAAGCCTAAAAATCATACCCAAACCATGGTATACTTTGTGTAGACATGGTAGGACAATTATGCTTTAACGGAGGTAATTCAAAGGCAAACCTTTATATATATGTTTTATTTTATTTTTGAAC